CCTCCGTTTTCTCATCCGCCCCTCCCCTCCCCTTCCCCCTCCTAAGTGATGCCAGCTGCTCGGGCCCCGAAGGCTTTTCCTTTCCCTCCAAGCCCCCACTACCCCTTCATTCGTCTCTTCTGCCCCCGCCTCGCCCTCCCCCCACTTCTCCTCGCAGCTCGTAGCCCGGCATCTCGACTTTGCCCATTGAGCGACCCTCCTCTGCAGCCTTCCCCGCCAGAGGCAGTGTCGCGCGGGGTGCCCTTCTCTCCCCCTCCTCCTCCTCCTCCTCCTCCTCCTCCTCCTCCCCCTCCTCCTCCTCCTGCTCTTCCTCCTTCTTCCCTCCTTCTCCTCCCCCTCCATTCTCTTTCCTCCTCCTCCTCCTGCTCCTCCTCCTCCTCCTCTCGTCCTCGTCCTCCTCCCCTTTCGGCCCCTTCGCTTCCCGCGCCCCCCCCCCCCAGCCTTGGCGGCTCGCTCGCCCCCGCTCTCGCCCTCGGGATTCGGGCGGCTGCCGCGCCCCCGTCCTCGCCGCGCCCCCGTCCTCGCGCCTCCCATCTTCCTCCTCCGACCCGTCCTCCTTCTCCTATGCCTCCTCCCCCCTCCTCTTCCCCTCCCGCCTTCCTCTTCTCTCTCGCCGGCTCGCTGGCCATCGCCCATCGGCCTTCGGGCCCGCCCTCCGCCCTCCGAGAGCAGGCGGCCGCGCCGCCGCGGCGCTTGCTGAGGAACCGCTCGGACGCCGGCAGATGCAGCGCGGGTTCCATGGGCGCCATCGCGAAGCAGCTCTTTGGCCTCGTGACCCCCGCTGGCAAGAAAGCGTTCTTGGACAACGCCGACGGCGCGACCATCACTGTCGGGGCGATGTGTTCTGGCACTGACGCTTGCGCGTTGGCCTTGCGGAGCGCCCTCTTGAGCGGATCCGGCGGGGTCGACCGCGCATTCAGCTGCGAGGTGGCGCCCGTCAAAAGGAGGCGGCCCCCTCCTCGCCCGTCGTAGTCCCCGTCCTCCTCCTCTGTGACTTCTCTATTCCATCCTGCCCGCAGGCCCCCTCCTCCTCCATGCCTCCACTCGTCCTCCTCCTCGTTCCTCGCCCCCCCCCCCCCCCTCGGTCTCCTCCTCCCCCCCCCTGATCTTCCTTCTCCTCGGGCGCCGAAGTGGTCGCGCTTGGGGCGGCCACTCTGGGCCAATTTTGAACCAGAGTGGCCGTCTCAAGTATAACCGTTCTAGTGCCATGCGCTTTCCCTTCAGGGGGGGCCCCCCCCCCCCCCCCCCCCATGCCGCGCGCTCCTCCCCCCCCTCGCCCGATCCCGAGCTGTTTGAAAACATTGCGTAGGTTGTGTGGGTGATTTCTCTGGGCTTCGGGCGAGAGTCAGGAGCGCGTTCGAATGTCCATGGTCTAGAGTTCTGGGGGCCGCGCATCGAAACCTAACAAAGCTTGCCACGTGGGATGCCTTGGCCCACCGCATCCACCCAGGGCGCCCCTCCTCATCCTTGCGCGATCGCCATCGCATCCCTTCCTCCTCCGACTGGTTCCACTTCTCCTTCTCGCTTGCCTCGCAGTCGTCTCTCACTCCTCCTCATCCTGATAAGTTCGCCCCCCTCTTGTCATCGCCCCTCCGGTCTTCCTTGCCCAAGTGGATCATGAGCATGTGCACGCCGCCGCCGCGGCGCCTGTACACGGGCGTCACGGATTTCGAACAGTCGAGGGCGTTCGACGTCTTGGCTTCGGCTTCGACGCCAGCGCCTGCCGTGCACGTCTTCTTCGTAGGCTTCAGCTGCAAGGACGTGCCCCGCCTGGGCGGCAACAGCGCGGGGGCGCGCGGGCGCGTGGGCGCGGGCGCGTTGCGGACGGGCTCGACCTTGAAGGGCGCCCTCGCGCACATCGAGCGCAACCGCCCCAAGATGGCGTTCCTCGAGAGCGTCGTGGCCATCGCCGACGTGGATCGCAGCACTGGCGTTTCCAACGCGTCGGCATTGGAAGAGCAGCTTCGCGTGTTTGTCTACTTCATGTGCAGCGCCATGTACGACTCCCGCTGCCGCGGCAGCCCGCAACGGAGGGCCCGTTGGTGGGCGGTCGCAGTGAGGCTGGCGGACGAGGCGCCGACGCCCGCCGTCTTGGCGGTGGCGCAACCGATGCAGGAGCGCCTCCTCGGAGCGCTGATGCGGATGGAGATGGGCCCGGCCCGGGTGGAGGACATCTTGACGCCTGAGGACGCTTGGGCCTCAGGAGAAGGGCGAGGAGGAGGAGGATCAGGAGGAGGACGGGGCAGGAGGAGTTGGATGAGGGCAGGGGGAGAGGATGAGGAGGGGGGGGGGGGGGGGGGGGGCAGGAGTAGGGGCCGGAGAAGTAGGGGCAGGGACAGGGGGAGAAGGATGACTACTTTACGAACTGATTTTCGTTATAACGCGAAAATCAGGGACATAGGGAGTTCCAAGCAATATAGCAATGAGCAGGAGTAGGGGCAGGAGCAGCCCCAAGCAATTGCCCCCCTGCCTTCTGCGGCCCCGCGCCAAGGCAGAACCAGAGGAGGATCACGAGGGGGGTCGGAGAGAAAATAGTTCGGAAGCCATTCTTGAGGCCTCGAGGAGAGGAGAACGACGAGGAGGGGGAGGGGGGGGCAGCAGCATGGGAGGAGCAGGGCGAGGGCGCGAGATGTCAGCGGGATTTTGAATATGATAACAATCATGCAAAAATGTGGTAGGACAAAAGTAAGGATTCGCGATTATCGAGGAATGGCGCGCTCGGTTTTGCTCTTCTCAGGGAGAGCAGCGCCCCCGCGCTTTTTCTGCGACTGTCGCGAATCCTTGCTTTTGTCCAACCGCGGCTTTCGCCGTCCACCCACCGCGTTTGTCATGTTTTCGGCTTTAGGGTTTAAGGTTTCTGCTTGCGCATCCGTTGCGCCCCCCAGCAGGACAGCGAGGACTTGGCGACGTGGATCGCTGGGGTGCGCGAGAATGGCCAGCGCCACGCCGATGACGAGGGTGCCGACGAGGAGCGTCCGAAGGAGATGCAGAAGAAGATGGGGTGGGTCGACCTCCATAGCGACGTGTTTCGCTCCGCAGGGGCGCGCTACCCGCCGATCTCGGCCTTGCACTGCGCCGATGCTGAGCTGGAGCACTTATACATGCTGCCAAAGCGCTGCCAGGAATGCGCGTGCTATTGGGGCCTCGCGAGAGGTTTCATCGGCCGCAACGGGAAAGAATACGCGATCGACGTGTCGCAGAATTTGGACAGGATTAACCATTGCGAGGACGACGTGCCCTGCGTCACCCCGATGGCCATCATGTGGCTCCGCCGCCGCCGCCGGCTGACGATGCCGAGCGAGTTCATGGCGTCCCAGGGCATGCCTTTGATGTCCCACTCCCAGCTCGCAGCCTCCCAGGGCTCCGACATCAACTGCCTCGCCGGGAACGTGTTCAACATCTGGACGTGCCTGGCCTTCATCATCGGCGCCCTCTCGACGTTCCCGATCGGCTTGCAGCTCTCGGCGGGCGAGATCTCCGCGGGGGGTCGGGCCCGGCTTCAGGCGGTCGGGTGCCATGAAGGGGAAGGGCGAAGGGTGCGTTGATCTGTTCGGGCGAAGGTTCGCGACTGAAGAGTCCGAGGAGGTGGGCGAGGGGAAATCCAGCGGGCTGCGATCGACGTTTGGACGTCTGACAGCGACCGCAGCTCGGGGCCATTCGGAGCCCATGGCCCAGGTCTCGACCCGAGTGTTGATCTTGGCACGTTCGGGACTGTTGTCGCTATCGCCATCGATGTTGGCCTTGCCAACCCCGCCCCCCTACGTTCTCATGTCGTCATCGCGCCTTTCGTTGTGATTGAAGCGCTGTATTGCGATCGCTTGTTGTTATCATCGTTGGGTCGTTGTCGTTGCTGGAATCGCCGATGTCAGTTTCTTCGCGCGGTCTCGCGCCCGCCCTGTTCGCGTCCCGCATCAGTCGCCTCGTACTGTTTATGCTTCGCCCCCCTCAGCCACTCCTCTTTCCCCCTGCCGCTCCTGCTGCTTCTCCCCCATCGCCTCCCGTCGCTCGTCTGCCCGTCGCCCGCCCCCCGTCTTGCGCTTCGCCGGGCGAGGCCGAGGACCAGAGCGCCGTCTTCCAGTTGCGCCTCCTCGGCAAGAGCGTCTAGGGCCCGCGGGGCTTCCCCCGTCGAGATCACCGCGCCTCCGCTCGGCTCCAACTCGTTCCCGTTCCCGGGCGCTCACTGCGCAGGCTGACTTCTTATGTGAGGAATTTGAGCATCTAGCCCAGGGGCGGCTGTTGTGGACAGCATTCGCAGGCCATCTCTGCAGGGCAACCGGGCAAACCAACAGACGCCGCAGTGGCTGTCGGATCGCGACGCCATGGCGTCATAGGGGCGCTGCGTTTTCGGCGTGAGGGTAAAACCCAACACCTAATTTTCATTTCGTCGACGTTCAGGGTCTCCGAGGTTCTTGGGTTTCTGGGGGCGATGGGGGGGGGGGGGGCTGGGGGAGTGGGCGGAGGAGGGGGGGGAGTTCGTCTTAGAAGGAGGAGGACGATCCATTACACAAGAGAAGTTAACTTGTCGCACTGGGCAGGATGGCAGGACACAAGAGGAGCCTATCTGTCGCACGACTGTCGCACAGGGATGGATGGCAGGAAGCAGGAGGAGCCAACATGTCGCACTGGGCTGGGTGGCAGTAAACAACAGGTGGAGGCATGACACAAGAGGAGCCAACATGTCGCACCAGAATGCTGGTCAGCGCCCTTTGACGCAATGCTTGCATAGAGCGCATTCTTCGGGAGTGCGGCAGCAGGGCCGCGGGTATCTTGAGGGGTCGTAAATCGTAAATCGCCCCGCCGTGGTTCTCAGGGTTTGTTGACCGCCACCACTCCGCTGACTTGCTCGGTTCGAGAAATGGGCTGGCGTCGGTGACTTTGGGCCCGCGCCACCCGCGCCCCATTCTTGGCATCTCCAGTTTGCAGGTAGGTCACGGTCGCACTTGCCAATGGCGGCGGCCGAAGACCCCCTTCGACGCTCTCAGCCTGCTCGGCGACATGTCGAATTTCGATTGTGATATATGCAATGGCGACGTGGAACCCGAGGGGCAAGAATCGGCGCCCGCGCCCCAGGCGCCTCGGCTGAATGGCGCTACTCACCCTTGCAAGCCCCAGAGGAGGGCAGCCGCGCCGACGATTCGCCTCGCCCTGTGCCCCTTCACCTCTGCCCGCGCCCCGCGCCCTCGAGTCGGGAGGCGGCGGCGGGGGCGGGGGGGGGGGGGGGGGGGGGGGCGATGGCGAATCTGCGCGAGCGTTCGCCTGTAAGCGCTTCTCGCCCATTCCGCAGCAGGCGAAGCGCCGCCGGCTCCACGCGCAGGAGCGGGCGGGCATCGGCAACATCGGCATCCTTCTCACGACGGCTGCGAGCACCCTGGGGCCCAGGGCCGAGGCGATCCTCAAGAAGACGCGCGACATATGCGGCATTGCGCTGGGCACGCCCGACCCGCTCGACAAGTCGAAGTCCCGCTCTTGAAACAAACCCAACATGGAAGGGAGAGTACGTGGAGGGATGCGGCGCTGCCACGTGAAAGCTTTGCCCGGGCAAGAGCGCCAAAGAGGTCATCGCTTGGCTAGCCAGCGACATGGACTTCAAGAAACGGTTCACGGCACACATCGAGTCACTCATTGAGCACTACTTGGCTGGCGGCCGGACCGCCCGCAACATGACGGGCCCGTCGGAGACGGTCGCGGCCTTCGAGGAGCAGCCCCTGACGGCGGGCGTCAAGGGCGTGATGAGGCTCCGCAAAACATACGAGCGTTTGCATGGCAATCCCGAGACCAATGGGCTGGGCCACAAGGCCATGAGAGCCAAGTGGAAAGACGGGTCGATGCAGGATTCCCCGTTTTTTGTGAATCGTTTCTTCCCCCTCCCTCCCACTTGCCTCGCGTCTGCCGCCCCCCCCCACTCCTCCTCTCCTCCCCCGTCCTCCTAGCCTGCCATATGGAGCAGCCCTCCTTCGCAACTCGGAAGTCTTGTTCCAGGGGCGCCCCCAGAAGTTCATCCTGGATATTTCGATCGTCGCCCTGCACCCAGAACTTTCTTCGGCGCCGCCCCCTGGCGCATCGGGCCCCCCCTCGCCCGGGGGTTCGGCTCGAATTCAATTGTTTTCTTTCGTGCGGCCCCGAGGACGTCGTCATCATCCTGAGCACTGCTGATGATGAGATGGAGATTTCATGGGGCAACAAAACGGCCGTGCAGCACGCGCAGGAGATTGCAAACAACGACTTAGTCGACGACGCAGCTCTCCCGAGGCCGGTATTCGACGACCTTCGCTCGACTACTGTTCAGAACAGGATCGTGGGCGAGTCGCGGCCGCAGCACGCGCCCCGGCTGCCGTCTGCCCCGAGCGGCGCTGGCAGCAGCGGTGGCAGCCAGGCGCCGGCGCCTTCCACGGGCAGTGCCGACGGCGTCGCACCCGGCGCAGACGCTGAGGAAGAGGAGGAGCCGGACGGTTGCGGCATCCTGAACTTCCACAGGATATTCGGCGAGGGCGAGGACAGCACAGGCGCTGGCCAGCGGCGCGAGGCCGCCCGCGAGGAGCCCGCTGCAAGCGGCGCTGGGGCGGCCAGAGCTGGGCGATCCAGCGGCGGCGCTCCGAGAGCCAAGGTCAAGGCGCAGGCGGATTCAACCATGCCGCCGCCGCTGTCAAGGGCCGCCGGGACAACTCGGCGATCTGCCACCAAAGCCTCGACGACCGACGCTTCGCAGCCGCCGGGCAGGGCCGAGAGGGGCGCGAGTAATCAGTTGTCGAAGTTGGAGGGCATCCACATGGAGTACTTGAAGGGTCAGCGGGCTTCGGTACTCACTCTTGATAAACAGCACTTCAAGAAGATCAAGAGCTTGACCGACTCCCTCTCGTCCAAGACGAAGCTCTTGAACCCACTGTTGCAAAAGCAGGTTAACAACGAGCTGAAGGTCGTGGAGATCGACGGGAAGATGATCAAGGCATTCAAGCAATTCAGTCGGAAGGGCGGGGGCGACGAATTCCTGGGCGAGGTTGCGGAGGTGAAGGCCTTTGCCAGTCAGAACCCTGTCGTCGAGTTCGAAGTCCCCCCATGCATGTCCCAGGGGATCAAGGATTGCGAGTTCACCACCAAGTTGCTGGAGTTCGTGATGGCGAACGACAAGCCCCAGATGCCCCAGCGTTTCAAAGGCATTTCCAAGCTCGAGTGCCAGGCTCTGGAACTCACGGCAGACGAGCTCACAGTCTGGCAGAAGGAGTGCAGGGGCTATCGTTTCTAAGGTCACCGGGGGCGTTCTGGCACCGACGGGGCCTTCTTTGCATGAGTCCGCGCTGGGCGGCTGCGCCGGGGCACCTACTCGGCGAGCGCAGCTTTTCCCGGCGCGGGCTTGTGGGGAGAGGGCCCAGCCGAAGTCAGAGTGGCGCTCGGTCCTCCTCGTTTCGTTTTCGGGTCGACGATAGGATAAGATCCTCGACAGTTTGATCACGATCGTCAGTTTGCCAGCGAAGATTGCGCCGCAGGACATTTTCGCTCGCATCCAGCTCGTGGAGTGCTTTCTATCTGCCTTTCCCATCTCGGGCCTGAAGTCCGACCTGGAGTTCGATGTCGGCGACGTGACCACCGAGCGCATGCTGGTCTTGCGCAAGGCTTTCACCATTTCCAACTACGCGGGCAACGTGGCCAGCATCGGAGATTCGCTGGTTCAAATTTCGCGCGGAGGAAACGACTTCTTCAAGGCGATCTCGGCGAGCGGCGCCGGCGGCAGGATGCTGATGGCGCTCCTGGCCAGGGTGAATGAGCAGTCGAGAAAGGAGACGGCATTGGATGCGATTTCAACACTTCTCTCCGAGGACAGCGGAGCGACCGTCTCTTCGCTGGTCAGGCTTGACGACGAGTTCGAGCAGAGCGGCTTCGAGGTTCAGCGACGGGGATCAACCGTGCCAAGCGGTGGAGGAGGAGGGCGAGGTCGAGGGGGATGAGGGTTCAGATGTCCCTCATCCTCTTCCTCCTCCACTTCCGCTCGCCCCCTCCTCCTCTCCCAATTATCCTCCTCCCCCTCCCCCCCTTCCTCCCCCCAACCCTTTCTCTTCTTCTTCTTCTTCTTCTTCCTCCCCCTTCTCCTTCATCGCTAAAGCGGCCACGCTTGAGACGGCCACTCTGGCTCAATTTTGGTCCAGATCTGGCCGTCTCAAGTGTGGCCGCTTTGGTGCCGTGCACTTTCCCTCGCCCGCCCATCTCAGGTTCGTCGCGAACACCTGCAGGGCTACTGCAAGCAATATCGGGAGTGCGTGGTCGACGTCGGCACGTCCTTGGGTCGCTACTTGGAGTTGCTCATGAATGGTTGCAAGGGCGCTGGTGTGGAAGCTCTGGTCGGCGACAAGCCTCTCGGAGATTGGCTCTCAAGCACGCTGATGAGGAGAAGGGCGTCGTGGTCGCGAAGGACGAGCAGGTCTTCGATGCCATCGGGAGGTGGGCCCGCGGCCCGCTTGACTTGCTCCGCGCTGATCGGCCTGGCTCGAGCGTCGACGTCGGCCACCTGGAGGAGTTGGCCAGAGTCATCGCGTTCACCCAGCCCATCCTGCTCGGCGATCATTGCGGCGTGATGAAGCTGCCGGCCGATGCTTTCCACAGGGCGTTCGAGGAGAGCCGCAGGGTGATGTCCGAGCGCGAGCAGCTCTTCCTGGGCCCCAAGATGTCGGACATTGTCAGCGACCTGGAGAAGGATTCGCTGTGCTGGGACGTGACCCTGGGCTGGGGCCAACGCCTGATTCGAGCTTGGAGGAGGAGGAGGAGAAGGGGGAGGGGGAGGGGGAACGAGGAGGAGGAGGAGGAGGAGGAACAGGAGGAGGAAGGAGGGGGAGGAGGAGGAGGAGGAGGAGGTAGAAGGAGGGGCGAGGTGGGGGAGGGGCGGATGAATGTCATCGTTCTCGCCCCACGGGTCCATGGCTGAGTTTTGGGGCCCCCGCTGCCGCAGTTTCTTCGCGCGCTGTTGCCGCGACTGTGCGTTGAGGCTAGGCTCGGTTTGTTGGGCCCGCCAATCGCAACGCTCCGCTGCGGGGGCAGGGCGAAGCGACTGGTGGGTTCGACGAGCCGCCGGGCGATCGACAGCGGCGGCGGGCCCGCCCGGGAGACTGCAGCCTTCGTCGACATGTGCGCCAACAACAAAGAATCGGTAGATAAGGCGATGCTCATCAGAACGCAGTTGACCACCGCTGACCCGCGTCGGAACTTGAGCAAATTGGCAGAGTCCGTTGATGAGTGCGCAACGTTGCTTACAGTTTTTGGCATGTCCTCTCCTGCAATGATGCTTCGGCTGACATGGATATTTTTCTCTACCAAGTCATCTTTCGCTGCTGTCTCCCACTACCAGGACCTGCATGGCCCGGCGAAAATCAAGTCCGACTCTGAGAGCGAGAAGTATCAGTCTGCGCGGCTCGAGCTGGCGGCCAATGTTGCCAAGCTATCTGACCTCGTTGCGCCCCCCAGTGCGTCTGCTTGCAACGGCGACCGAGAGCCCCTCCAGGCCCTGGCCTTGCGGCCCTTCCCCTTCGAGAAATTGATCTTGGAGCTTGAAGCGGCCAAGACAGCGTCAGCCAATCTTCTGAAGACGGGGGCAGCGAAACTCTCGTGCGCCCTCACGGCATCCTCGGAGTCCCTTGAACATGCCATTCCTGATTACTCGCCGTATGCTGTGAAACAATGAAACGAGGAGATGGCCAAGCAGGAGCTGCTCGATCGCGAGTGGGAGTGGTTCGCGCAGAAGTGGGTGAACTTGACGGCCATGCACAAGTTGAGCAACAGCCTGAGCCACGTCGTCGCCGGCGGCACTTTTCAGGCGCAGCACGATTCGATCTACAAGGGCGCCTCGGAGGCCTTGAAGGCGGGCCGCACGTTCGCGGCCGTCGTCTCGACGGCGAAGCTGGCGACGGTCACGCTGCCTCAGCCCCCTAAGCAGTCTCGCTTGCAGTTGCTGGAGAGCCACTTGGAGAAAACAAAATCTTCGAACCTCCCTGGCAATCTCACGACCTACCTGCAGAGGGAGATCGCCAAGATCAAGAGCCCCCTGCTGCTCCTTAGAGTCATGCGGCCCTGGGGGGCGCTCGGGCATGCTCGAGTTTTTTTTTCGGTGGACTGGCGGAGGATCCAGGAAGTTGAAAGGATGAAGGCTGAAGATTTGTTGGGGATGGGGGTGGGGTGGGGGGCATTCGGAGTCTGTAATCCGCCAGTCTGACACTGGCACGTGCGCTTTGATTCCCAGCGAGTTTGAGACTTTCAGGGAACCCGTGAGCAGCCGCTCTACATCAGGTTCGTGGTTGTTCATGGCCTGCCTCAGGGCACCCCATGCAAGTTTGCGGTTCTTCACGGTCTCAGGACCAAGGCCCGCGTGCAGTGCATTTCCCACCCGGAGCCATCCGTTTCATGCTCGCCTGTTTGATCTTGGGATGGAGGAGGATAGGATGATGAAAGGTTGGAGCGGAAGGCGGGCTCACGTCGGCCGCCGCGTGGATCGCACATTTGCACGCGTGCTCTGACGTCGCAGTGGGCATGCCGCCCCTGGACAAACATTTGCGTTGATGCTTTAACGTTGCAGCTGGCATGCCGCCTCGAGGCCAGGTGATCAGAGCGGGGGCAGGATGGAGGAGGATTGAAAGCGGTTGGAGGAGGGAGCGGGGGGAGGTCAGCCTCCCCCTCCCCCCCTCTCCCGCGCCAGATCCAACGTTTCTACCTGTCTCGTTCCTGCTCCTCCGTTCCAGCCCCCGCCGTCAACTTCTCATGGTCCTTGAGTCCTTCTGTTCCGATGTTCTAACTTGTTCTGATTCCTCTTCCCACGGGTCCCCTTGTAGCACCTTCGCATCGCCATATGTTCGCCCTTTTTTTCTCCGATCGCATCAGCCTTCTGTGATGAGGCTGTCGAGGTCAGTTTCCGAGCGTAAACCTGAGGGCTCCACCCTCATATGTCCTTTCCCAGCTTGACCTCTGAGTGCATCCTCTTTCCTCCTTGCATTTCAATTTCGTTCCCTCCTCGCCCGCCGTGTCCTTCACCTCGCTACTGTCGTCCTCCTCCCCATCCTCCTCTCTTCCTCATCCTCGTCGTCCTCCTTCCCCCCCTCCTCGCTTCGTGTCTCACGCGGCCCCATATTGCTACACAGGTCACTGTTGCCGCCCGCGCGACCAGGCCGCCCACGACGATCAGAAACACCGCGAGTGCTGCAGCAAATGCCACATCCACCGTCACCGCTTGCCACAACCATGCCTTAGCACCAGCCGCTATCATGTGCTCCGGGCCCTCTTGTCACTCATCCCGCTCATTCTACTTACATCCTGGTAAGTCCATCTTCGCCGTTGCATTTCTGGCGGTTGTATCAATGGACTTAAGAGCGCAGCTACGTTCACCATCCTTCGCATGTTTTTTTTCTGTTGGTCCTTTCACATCCCACCTCCCTTGCCTCCTTCATTTCCTCCTCCCCTTCCCCCCTCCTCCCCCTCTGCGCCTTCGACCCTCCCCCCCATTCAGATCCTCTCCCCCCCTTCCCCTCTCCTTTCCCTGTCCCCCTTCCCCCCTTCCCCCTTTCCCAGTCTCCATTTCCCTCCCCCCTGTCCCCCCCCTCCCGTTCTCCCACCTCCCCTCCCCCCTGTCCACCCCCCCCCTCCCGTTCTCCCACCTCCCCTCCCCCCAGCCCCCCCTCACCCCTCATTTCTTCACCCTCCCGACCCCGCTCGCACCCCTTCACACAGACTACACTTCCTCCGGGCGGGCCAACTGGGACGCACGGATGAAGGAAACGAGGCGTGTTGCTCCCTTGGGTCGTACTCCGGCACGTACCCTCTGGGACGCACGGGGGAAGGATTCGAGGCGTGCTGGTCCCTTGGGTCGTGCTCCGGCACGTACTTTTTGGGAAGCACGGGGGAAGGAGTCGAGGCGTGCTGGTCCCTTGGGCTGTGCTCTGGCACGTACCCTCTGGGACGCACGGAGGAAGGATGCGAGGTGTGCTGGTCCCTTGGGTCGTGCTCCGGCACGTACCCTCTGGGACGCACGGAGGAATAAGATGAGAGAGGATGCGTGCTGGTCCATTGGGTCGTGCTCGGGCACGTACCCCCTGGGACGCACGGAGGAAGGAGATGAGGCGTGCTGGTCCCTTGGGCTGCGTTCTGGCACGTACCCCCTGGGACGCACGGGGGACACTGCAGGAATAGGAGGACCTGGAGCATATCCGCAGGCCATTTGAGTCGAAAAACATAGGAAATGCGGTCGTTGTTTTAGATTCAGGGTTTCTGGGGCTTTTTCACCCCAGTTGTTCCTGTCGCCCGCAAGCGGATATTTTTTAGGATGAAGAGTCCGTACGGCCCTTTCGCCCATGTGGACGCGCTATTATAGTCAAGCGCTCATGGGCAAACGCTCGTTGTGGCATGACAGAAAACATGAGATGCACATATGGGGAGCTCCGCGCACTGAGTAATTATTGGCCGAGCCTTTTCTTTCGGGGATGGCCGCGAACAAGATCTGGGTCACGATGGTAGAGGGAGGAGGAGGAGGAGAAACAGGAGGGGGGGGAGCAAGAAAAGGAAAAGGAGGAGGAGAAGGATGTGGAGGAGGAGGACGAGGAGGGGGAGGGGGGGGGAGGGTGAGCAGAAAGAGGAGGTTGAAAATGTGGATGGGGAGGAGGGGGGAGGGCGGAGGGGGAGGGGGAGCCTGCTGGGAGAGGGAGTGAGAGGGGGGAGGCAGGAGGAAACAGCAGAGGACGGTGTCTGCGCACAAACAGTCAGCCTGCCGCCTGCCAGGATTTCCTCCCTTCCGATTTCTCCTTGCTCCACTTCCCTCAAAGGAGGAGAAGGTACCCATATCGCTACCATCCCCTCGTTTTCCCCAGTTTGGGACCTGGGAGGTCCTCGTCGCATCCGCGGGATTCGCTTCGAAATCCTGGTCAGAACGAACCTCGTGAGAGGTCCAGGGAGTAGCGGTATCTGTTGCTTGTTTCCCCAACTTTATCCATTATTCTCGCGCAGACACGTAGACATTGCCAATCGTCATTTGAAGATAAGCGAAGTGGTGGGGAAGACAAATGTCAAGAAATTGTGTGAACATATGGGGGATCCTGGGTTGTGTGCCTATTTGTTTGTTTGTCCCTGTGCCCCTTCACTGACTTTTTTCCCTCAGCTTCCCATTTCTTCTACATTCCACTGAAAACGTAGCCATCGGAAGGGTCTTGTTTCCTCTCGCGTGTCCTCTCCTACCAAGTTCGACTGTACACGTCGGTATTTGAAAGTATGTATCTCTGGATTCCCTGTTCTCAGTCTACTTCTAGCGCCTTCTTCCGACCGACGTGTACCCAGACATGCGACGTCCGGAAGTTTTTCATACGCGGTCCCCTAAGGTCCTCGACCTTTTCCCCAGGACCGGTTGTTCATCCTGAGTAGTTATTTTGACGGTCCCTGGGCCTGGCGAGGGCCTCGAGAGGCCGAAATTGGCCCAAATCTTCCCGTCGTGATTTCTTTTACGACGCGATCATGTCTGGGTATTCCTTTTCCCTAAGCTTCCTTCCTCCTCAAGGGGGCGGGGCAGGTGTCGTCGAATTGGTGTCGTGTGCGCACCCCGATCACACGCAAGAGTGACCCCCCGCAGGAGTGATATTTGGTGCGGGCCCGCTGGGGCCCCCCGATCGCTGAATCCGACGCTAGCAGCGGCCTGTGGCCCCCTCGCGCCCCCCAAATCCGTGCACCAAAGGTCACTCTTGCCTAGGGTCGCTCTTACGTCAGCCGAGCACCCGGGTGCGGCAGGGCCTCTTCGGCGGCGGCGGCGCCGCCAGCGGAGGGGGTATCGCCGCTGCCCGCCCGTGCGCGCGGGCGTGTTGGGACGAAACGAGGGGAGGAGGCGCGGGACGCGGAGGAGGAGAAGGAGGAGGAGGAGGAGAAGGGGAGGAAGCGGAGGAGGAGGAGGAGGAGAAGGAGGAGGAGGAGGAGGAGGAGGAGGAGGAGGGAAGAAGGCGGAGGAGGAGGAGGAGGAGGAGGAGGAGGAGACGAAGGGGACGAGGAGGGAGGAGGAGGAGGAACAAGAGGAGGAGGAGGAACAAGAGGAGGAGGAAAGGAGGAGGAGGAGGAGGAGGAGGAGGGGAGGAGGTGGAGAAGGAGGACGAGGAGGAAAAGGGGGGGAGGAGGAGGAGGAGGAGGAGGAGGTGGAGGAGAAGAAGGGGACGTGGAGGAGGTGGGGAGGGATGAGGAGGAGGAGGAGGAGGAGGAGAAGGAGGAGGAGAAGGAGGAGGAGGAGGAGGAGGAGGGGGGGGAGAAGGAAGAGAAAGGTAAAAGGTATACCGCTACCCTTCCCTCGTTTTCCACTTTTAGGGCCTCCTGGGTGGCTCTCGTCGTCACAGCCGGATTCGCCATGCAATCTTGGTCAGAACGCACCAGAGGAGAGGTTTGGGGGCTCGCGGTATCGGCACCTGTTGGTTTCCCAGAAATGGAGAGAGAGAGAGAGAAGAGTGGTACCTGTAGGGGAACGAGGGAAGGGAGGAGGAGAGGGACGCGGGGGCAGGGAGGAGAGGGTGAGCGACGCAGGGGAAGGGGCAGGGTGGAGGAGGAGCAGGTTCTTACGTAGCTGAAGGGGGGGATGAAGTCTGCGGAAGACGGAGGAGGTGAAGGAAGGAAGAGTCGGGACTGCGTCGTCGTAGTCGCCGTCGCCGTTGGCGTCGTCGTCGTTTGTCGTCGGCGCGGTTCTGCCCTGCGCCGACAGGTATCTTCGGCGGCGCGGCCTCGGGCGGCGGGGGCGCCAGCCTCTTCGGCGGAGGCCCCTAAGCTCCGTTGCGGCCTCTCGCACGCCGTCGGAGGACGACGCAGAAGAGAAATCTGCGCGGAGCGCCCAAGGCTTATGTTTATGCCGCTATTTCTTCTTCCAGGTTAGACGGAGGAGGAGGAGGACGTTAGACGGGGAAGGTAAACGTTTTCTCAATGTCTCCCCCAGCCTCGGAGGACGTTGGAGGACGTCGGGGAAAGCGGAGGAGGTAAACGTCTCCGCAACGTCTTCCCCAGCGTCGGAGCACGTTGGGGAAGTCGGAGGAGGTAAACTTCTCCCCAACGTTTTCTCCCCAACGTCGGAGGACATTGGAGGTCGTCGGGGAAGACCGGGTTTGCGTTGTCGGCTTCGTGTTCGCCGCCGCCGCCGTCGCCGTCGGGGCATCAAGAAAAAACCTTAACGGGCGGTTTCCCTCACTTGTTCGGGCGCTAAATTGGCCTGGCGAAGGACCAGACCACATGCAGCTGCGAGTACCGTGAGGGAGATTAGACGAAGGAGGGGGGCGCGCAAATTCCGAGTAGCGCACCCAGTATTGTCTTCTGTCACGAAGCGTATGAAGGGTGTGCCGACATGAGTCGCCATTGGAGACTTCTGTGGAGGTCCCTATGGGGCTAGCGAAGCGTGTGAGGGGTGTGCCGAAATGGGGCGGCGGCGCCCATGCGAACTGTTCCACTTGGGCCTTCGGTGGAGCTTCCTTGTGGGGCCGCGGAGCGTGCGAGGGGTGTGCCGAAGTGGGGCGGCGGTGCCATGCGAACATTCCCACTGGGGCCTGAGGCGGAGCGCCTTATGGAACCCCGAAGCGTGAGGGATGTGCCAGAATAGGGCGGCGGTGCCCTTCGAACTTTCCCCCCAGGGGCCTTCGGCGGAGCTCCCTATGGGACAACGAAACGTGTGAGGGGTGGGCCGAAACGGGGCGGCGGTGCCATGCGAGCCTCCCCACTTGGACCTTAGGTGGAGCTCCCCATGAGGCCACGAAGCGTGTGAGGGGTGTGCCGAAATAGGGCGGCGGTGCCAACTGGGGCCTTAGGTGGAGCTCTCTATGGGGCCACGAAGCGTGTGAGGGTGTGCCGAAATGGGGCGGCGGTGCCATGCGAACTTTCCCCACTGGGATCTCAGGTGGAACTCCCTATGGGACCACGAAACGTGTGCCGACGTGGGGCGGCGGTGCCATGCGAACTTTCCCACGGGGGCCTTGGGTGGAGCTCCCTATCGGGCCACAAATGGTGTGAGGGGTGTGCCAGAATGGGGCCGCGGTGCCATGCGAACTTTCCCACTGGGGCCTTAGGTGGAGCTTCTTATGCGGCCACGAAACGTGTGAAGGGTGTGCCGGAATGGGGCTGCGGTGCCCTTCGAACTTTCCTTTGGGGGCCTTCGGTGGAGCTCCTTATGGGGCCACGAAGCGCGTGAGGGGTGTGCCGAAATGGAAGCCACGGGGGAGGGGGAGGCGGCACCGGGAGGTAAGGAACGCGGTGCGCTGTCTCTTCGTAGCGAGGACCCAACATCACAGGATTTGCTGTGACATACAAGACACGACGCGATGTGTTTGGCCATTTTCGGCTCCCAGGGGCCCTCGCTGGGCCCGGGGACCGTCAAAAACGAGTCAGCGGGTCGGGACTTCTGTGGAATTGCTTCATTGAGAACAAAAGAATCCCTAACACATGATCAAGACGTGGCCTCACTTATGTTCCCTGTTTTCGCATCAGGGATTATAAAGTTGGGCGGTTTGGTTTGATGCATCTGCAGAAAAGGGACCCCCTATCCCTAATCCCCACTGTTGTTTGCCCTCCTAAGTTAGGTCCCCTTCCAAAGGGTTGGGTTCTTCCGCTTGCCTACCAGGGGAGACGAGGTGGCGTCTGAGCAGGAACGGCTGCCGATACCGCCGCCCTTGCCTGGCTTCCCCCTTCTGGGAGCCCATCTGGGAGGCCCTCGTCGCTACCGCCGGGTTCGCCTTGAGATCCTGGTCAGACCGCACCCGGGGAGAGGTCCAATGAGCAGCGGTGTCGGTACCCTTTGGTTTCCCCACGGAGGGGGAGGACGACGGGTGAGAAGGTCGGGGGGGGGGAGATGGGGGAGTGTAGGCAAGGTGCGCTCGCCCCTCATCTGACATCCGATCCCTCCCTCCCATTCCATCCCATCCCATCATTCCTCTTATCTCTTCCCTGATTATGCTTTGTATCCGCGGACGCGTGTCATAGCTGGCCTGCAACTCCAACAAGAAGACCATGGCGTGTTGCGGGCAATAGGAAAGGGGGAGTTGCGTGCACATGCACAGGAGGAGAAGGAGGTGGTGGGTGAGCAGGAGGATGCGCAGCAGGAACATGATGATGACGAACAGCAGCAGGAACGAGTGGAGTTGGATGTAGAGGAAGGACCGGACGGGACATTCGGGAGAAGGAAGATGGATTGAGGGGATAGACGGGGGAGGATGAACGGAAGGAGGGAGGGAGGCACGAGGGGAAGGAGGAGGATGTTGCGGATGGTGATGAGGATTGCGAGGATGGAGTTGGTTCGAGAAGAGGAGAAGCAGTAGAGACACCGAAGTATGCGGAGGGGGGGGACGAAGAGGATGACGAGGTTAGTCAGGATGAGATGATGAGAAGTGGATGAGGGTTTTTTTGCGATGGCTGATGCCCAGAACAGGAGGAGGTGGAAGAGGAATTTATTGATTATCTTGAACAGGAGAGAGTGCAAAGGGAGGTGGAGCAAGAGAGCGATGATGGCGACGAGGCCGAGGATGAGAAGAGGAGGAGGCGGAGGATGAGGACGGCAAAGAGGAGGACGAGGGCGGTCACTCTCATGGCAGAATGAGGAAGACTTATAGGCTGAGGAGGGTCAGGGCGAGGAGGAGGAGGAGGATGTCGAGGGGAGGGCGAGGAGGATGGGGTAGCTGGCTCGCAGGCGTGGGAGCTTCCCCGATCAATCCAGTCGGCGGCGCTACCGCTGGAGTCGCCCTCGTCCGTCCCTGCCTCTCCACTGTTCATCGTGATCGTCCTTTTCACCTCCTCTGCTCCTTCCCTTGTCATCCCCTGCACCTCCACACGAAATCTGTGCACACCCATCCAATTCCCTAGTCACATCGGTGCGCTTCCTGAAGTGCCGACAGTGTTTTCGGAAGAATGTCTGGCAACCCCGTCAGGGAGGCGTCACGTCTTCAAGCTGTCGAGTGATCACGGCTTCACAGTGTCCTCTGTCTCGGCGGAGAGCGAGGGGGGGAAGTGAGAAGGAGAAGGCCTTCTCAGAAGGCGGCGGGACTTCTCAGAAGCCCTTGCGCCTTCTGAGAAGTTTTCAGTGTATTCGGGGAAGGCTCAGAAAACTGTTCAGAAGGCCACAGGACTTCCGAGCCCTCTGAGAAGGCCCGCCCCTTCTCACTTCCCCTCGCTCGCCGCCGACTGACATCTGGAACAGATGAGAAGAACATACGTCAAGATCAGAGCTCGGGCTCGATAATACGCAAAAGGGAACATACATCAACAACAAATCCCACACCGCAAGCAGGCATCGATGATGCACTGGTAACCGTAGCAATTTTTGCCCAAGCCTTGGCTCCAGTTCGAGGTGGAGCAACCTTGGCTCATCAGTTGGCGAATCCGTATCTCGTCTGCGGACTCAGGCAATGTTACTATGCAAGCATCTCTTGGCGTAGGACATCTTTCATGATCTCGTGCAGGTTAATGATGTCGTAAGTGGGGACCGTCAGCGCCTTCTGATACACATATATATATAAATAAGTGGACGATGGCTTGGCGAAATGATTGGGAAGCTGTTATTTCTGCTATTCGGCCCTTTATGTTCATCATGGGGGGCAGAAATCAGTCATTTGTCGTAAGTTCCCGCAGCCGTCTTCTTTTCGGCCCACGTCCCGCACTTCCAAGAAGAAGAATCATAATAATAGTAAGAAGAAGAAGCACCGTTCAAAAGTATGAAAGTGGTTTTCGGTGACCCGAGATATCAAGCCAGATGGCGAGCAGAGAGCTAGGGCTGCAAAGCCTGGCGGCCTCTACGATCCGAGCCAGCACGCAGAGCAGCACGCATGCCAAAGTTCGAACACGGCACATCTAAGCCACAGCCCCCGATGCCAGCGATGCACTCGTGGCCACCTCGAATCGTGCAATGGCGAGCGCTGGATTGGTTTGTTGGCATGGCCAGAAGCAGCTGCAAGGCCCACCGAAGCTTGCTGGCGAGCCTCCTTTCGTGATCGCTTCGCCTGTGCCAGAAAGGATCCTCATGGAAGTGTCTTCATCCAGGTCATTGACGCCGACGACACCGGGAACCTGTCTCTTGGTGATGGTCAAAAGGAGGAGCTCAGCATGGCCAGGGCGGCTGGAGTCGGAATCCGGCACACGGTTGATGGGAGCACCATACGGCCAGGTGCTTGACCAGGCTGGTAGCGCTGCGGCTTCAACACGTGGGCACGTGTGCCATGCACTCTGAGGACGTGAGCCCGCTCACTTTAGGAACATCACATTGTGTGTGAGCACCGCGTTGTACTATCAGAATGAGGCGTTCAATTAATCCTCGCCGGGCACCAATTGGATTGGCCACATTTTTCGAAGTTGATGAATCACGGCGCCTATTTTCCATTCGTTTCCTTTTTCCCGCATCGTTTGTGTTGTCGCCTCTTGCTATTCCCCTTCCTCCTCGTCTACCCTGTGGGCGCCAGGACATGGCTTTCGACATGCACGTCCTCCGCATCCAACGTCGGATGGATGCACCTTTACACACGGAATTACAATCATACAAAAGAGATGCCAAACACAGAAGTCAAGACTATGCACCCGTACATACCAATCACAGACACTCACACACACACACGTAATAAACATAACTAATGGGCACCACGTAGCGTCGCCTTTAGCATACATCGAACATTGGCAGCACTATCGTACATCAAGAACAGGCGTCAAGAACACGCATCAATAACATACATCAGCACGAGCCACCAAGAACGTCCTTCAACACCAGACATCACTACACCACTTCCATACATCAGCAATTCACAAACACAAGCACCCATCAAGCCCATGCTCCAACACCAGGCAAACACATACACCAACCACGCACAACAGCAGGCACACACAAACATCAAGGACACACGCTTCTCAAACACATGGAACCCATGCGCCAGTATGAGAGACCAGCCCCTGCACCAGACATAATACCGAGCACATATTTCACACATGCACCAACAACGTACACTATTCACACACTTCACCACCATACAAACATCATATCCATCAAGCATAATCGCCCATGACACCAGTGACACCACTTGCATATATCAGGCACGCAAACATCAAGCGCAACCCCCCGTAACATCAAAGACGCAAGGAGGAGGAGGAGGCGGAGGAGGAGGAGGAGGAGGAGGAGGAGGAGGAGGAGGAGAATGAGGAGGAGGAGGAGGAGGAGGAGGAGGAGGAGGAGGAGGAGGAGGAGGAGGAGGAGAGGTGGAGGTAGGAGGAGGAGGAGGAGGAGGAGGAGGAGGAGGAGGAGGAGAAGAGGCGCAAATCCAGAAGACCTCCTCCTCTCCCTCGTGCCCCCTCCGTCGCCAGGCGCCGCCACTGGCGCCGCCGGAGCTGGCCTCTTCGGGACCGCGCGCGCGCCCCCCCGGGCCCTGCGCGCGGGCCGAGCCGGGCTGGCCGCCCAACATTTTGTCCTCCTCCTCCTCCTCCTCCTCCTCCTCCTCCCTCCTCCTCCTCCTCCTCCTCCTCCTCCTCTCCTACTCCTCCTCCTCCTCCTCCTCTTCCTCCCCCCCTCCTCCTCCTCCTCCTCCTCCTCCTCCTCCTCCTCCTCCTCCTCCTCCTCCTCTTCCGGCGTCACTCCGCCCTAGCGAAGAGAAATCGCAGGCAATGTTTTCTTTCCAACCCCCGACTTTTCGACGAACAATGAAGCGGCTAAGAAAAGGGGAGGATTCCTGGGATACACCCCCAAGGGGCTATTCGGACGCACCCCTATCGAGGATGGACGCCACCCCTCGTGCATCCCAGGGTTGGGCTCCAAATTTTTGGTCCATTCGAAACCTCGCGAAACCTGGGATAGGGTAGATTGCTGCAGATCTTACGGGTCAACCAGCAGCCCCAACCTCGAAGTCGCGTTCCAATCATTACTGCATGGAGATGTCTTGGTCAATGGTGGAGGCGTTTTTTTTTTTCAGTTTCCCGATTCTGTCTGAAGACGCCCAGAATTGTTTGGAAGCGCGGAGGACAATTTCCCCCGTTCAGTTCCCGACCGAGTCTATCCTTTGAAATCCCATGTTTTTCTTGCAAAGGTTGAGGCGGATCGCAGAGTCAGGGCAGTCAGCGCCTCTCTTTTCGGCGCTGGCGCCTGCTGTGCACGAATGTGGGCGGTCGGGTGGCTGCGTGGCCATTTTCGCAGGCGAGTTTCTCCCCCAACCCCCGACTTCTCAACGAAATGTGAGGCCGCTCAGAAAGATTAGAAAAGGAGGGGGTCCCTGGGATACACCCCCAGGGGGCTATTCGGACGCACCCCTATCGAGGACGGACGTCCCTCCGTCATATATCCCAGGGTTGGGCCCCAAATCCTTGGTCCAGTCGAAAACCATACGACGCCTGGGAAAGGGTCGACATATCCCCTGCTAATTTCCGCGAAACTGTCGGCAACACGTAAGACTCGAGTAGGCCAGTTTTTGGGTTTCCCGACGCTTTGTGACGAGCGCTTCCTGAATTTTGGCGCTCCAGCTTCTCTGGGATGCTTGCAGCGGGAGCTCGCGTCAGGTTTCAGACTGGGTCTTGTCGTTGCCATGATGGCGCCGTCAAAGCCAACCCGAGTCCCCGCACCCGAGTCTTAGTGCCTGTTTTTCTCTGGATTCGGGCAAGTTTACTTGCATGGACGGGGGGGGGGCTGAGTCTGAAGCAAGCCGAAGACAATTCGACGTGCGGAAATCACGCGAGTCGAGAGGCACCTGCGCGCTCGTGTCCGACGGAAGAGGGGCGAGGGGGGAGGGGGGGGGGGGGGGGGGCGAACGCCATGCAAGTAAGCTTTCCTGGATCTAAAGAAAAACAGGCTCATGGTTTCACTGTGGAGAGGAGAGGGGAAGTGAAGGAGGGAGGGGGACGAGGAGGCGAGACGGATCAGGAGGGGCCAGGGGGAGAGTCCGGGGGGGAAGGAGGAGGAGGAGGAGGAGGAGGAGGAGGAGGAGGAGGAGGAGGAGGAGGAGGGAGGAGAGGAGGGAGGAGGGAGGAGGAGGAGGAGGAGGCACTGCGGACGGTGACGACCACGACGACGACGACGAGCGCGCCCAGGGGCAGCGCCGGCTCCGGCGCGGACGCCGGGGGCGGCGCCTTGGCCCCCGCAGCCCCCTCTGCAGGAGCGGAGGGGCGAGCTGGGCGGGAGGGGGGAGGGCGCCCACACGAGGAGGAGGAGGAGGAGGAGGAGGAGGAGGAGGAGGAGGAGGAGGAGGAGGAGGAGGCCAAGGCCCTGAAGGACGAGTTCGGAGGGCCGTGGTCTGACACGGATCGGCGTTCCGAGGGAACGCGCCAGTTTGGGACATCTCGCCCGCAGGATCCGCGGCCAGGGCGACGATGGGCGGGAACAGCAACGGGCGACGGTGAGACGACCGGTGTCGCTTGGAGGCCGCCAGAGGAGGAGGAGTAGGAGGAGGAGGAGGAGAAGGAGGAGGGGGAGGAGGAGGAGGAGGAGGAGTAAGAGGCGGAGGAGGAGGAGGAGGAGGAAGAGGAGGAGGAGGAGGAGTAAGAGGAGGAGGAGGAGGACGAGGAGGAGAAGGAGGCTACCCTTTCAATGTCACTGCGCCTTTCCCCTCCGAAAGTGAGCCGAGCAGCGGTGCCACGAGTCCGTGCCGCGCTCCACCGCGGCCACGGAGATCATCGAGGCCAGACCAACGCTCCCTTGGCTACGTGTCAGGGTGAGGAGGAGGAGGAGGAGGAGGAGCAGGAGGAGGAAGAGGAACCTCTTTTCCCGCCTGGAGACCCAGCAACGATGGCACACGAGGACCCCTGAACGGTGTCCGTCTGCGCGCCACGGGCCACTTCCGCCACCGCGTGTGCAAAGGGAACCCTGAGGCGGGTGGCGCCGGGACTTTCCTTCTCCTGCATCCTCCGTTTCTTCTTTGTTTTGGATCCTTCTCCTTCGTCTGCGTCCTGCTGCTGCCCCTCCTCACCCCTCTTCCTGCTGGCTCCGCCTGATCCGTCTCCTCCGCCTCTTCCTTCCCCAACCTCGTGGTTGGATGAGGAGGAGAAGGGGAGCAAAAGGGGGGGGGCTAGTAACCTCCAGGGACCTCGCGGAGCAGCAGCGCCCGCGCTGCCGTGGCTGGCGCAGCGCAGATCGGCCGGAGAATCTCCAGCTGGTGGCGCCCGAGGCTTCCGTGTCCCACACGGGCAGGGCTTTCGTTTCGATTTCTCCGATTTGATTCGATTTCGATCGCTTTCGATTCCGATTCGATCCGACTTGGGATTTCGATGTGGGTTCAGATTTCTTATTCGAGGCATAATGTCAGCTTGTGATTAACAAAAGGCCGCCCCCCCCCCCCTCGCCCCTCCGGGGCTGATGAATAGACCCCGCGGGGCGCGAAACCTTTTTTGTTAATCACCCGCGCCAGGGGGTCGCGTGTACCCCTCTGCATGACAGCTTCAAAACGGTTGCATTTCGTGTAAGGAAGTTGTTATAAGGGTCGTACAGATCCGAGGCGAAGCTTCCTTCCCCCTCTCAGACGTCGTCGTCGTCGTCTTCTTCTTCTTCTTCGTCCTTGTCGTCGTCGTCTTCGTTGTCGTCGTCGTCGTCGACTACAGCGGGCCTGCGCAACACCCCCCCCCCGCATAGGGCATTCGCAGTGTGTCGTCGTCGCCGCCGCCGCCGTCGCCGTCTGCCGTCCGCCGTCCGTCGTTTTCGTCCTCGTCCCGCCGTCGTCGTCGTCGTCGTCGTCGTCGTCGTCGTCATCGTCGTCGTCGTCGTCGTCGTCGTCGACGAGGAGAGCGGCCGCTGGAAACGGGCGCAGGCAGGGCGGGGGACGGCGGCGACGACGGCGACAGAAGGGGGGAGGAGGACTACCCGCTTTGCTCGGGTCGGACGAAAGGCTGGGTGGGGAAGGAAATGGGGGGTTGCAAAGCCTGTTGCACGCAGCTGGTTTCGGTCGCCCCGCCGAAGGGCCAGTCCTCGACGCATGGCCGCTTTCGGCACCAGGAGGCGCTTGGAAAATCGGCGACGCGAGCTGCTTGGCAATCCCCCCTTTGCTGCGCCCAGCTTTTGTCCAGCCCGCCTGGCCCGCAGGCCCGCATCGGTTCGAAAGAGAGAAGGGCGCCCTGGCTCGTCCTTGCCTCCACCCCCCCCTTTGCCCCTCGTTCGCGGCCGGTCGTCGGCGCTAACCACCGGCGCCGCCCCGTGGATTCTCAATCTGGCGGACGCCACCCCCCGCGATTCGCCAGAGCGGGGGAATTATTTGTTTAAGCGCGCGTCCCCCGCGCATTTGTTAAACCACAAGCTGACACTACTAGCCTGCCGATTCCTGCCGATTCGAAGTTTCCCGATTCGGCTGCCGATTTCTGCCGGTCCGGTTCATGTCGATCGCCGGTCCGACTTTTCGATTCGATTCTAGGCTCCCCTGCGCGGGGAAACGCGGCGCCTGCTCCACGGCGCCAAGCTCGCCCCCGATCCCGCTGGGGCCCTCCGCGCCGCCGTCCGGACCAGGAATGGGTTTGTCGCGGCGAGTTCAGCATCGTAGGAGGAATATTCAAAAATAATACGAACAAGCATATTAATAATAATAAAGGGGGACACTGTTGGGACTATGGCTGATTACTTGCATTTCGTATTGTCTAATATCTTGTGGCTATTTGGGATTTCTTCTAAAGTCCGCATGTAGGAGGACATGCCCGATTGAACATTCAACCGGCACGCATCCCCATCCCAATCCCCATGCACACCCCCACCAGCTCACCACCCCAGTTGGGGGTATACCCTCCGAGCCCCGGACGGAACCGCCTCTATCCCCTCGACGGGGTTCAATCGGCCAGTGGGGTTCAGGCCACGCCGTTGGGTATTGGCGTCAGATGAACGATGCTCCAAAAGTGATGCCCGTTGGAACGTCATGCCGCGGCCCGCGAGTACCTGCAGCGCCTCTCCTGGGACTGCCCCGTGTGGCCCGGCGCCCGCCGCCCGCAGCTCCTCTCGCAGCGTGCGGCCTGTCGGCGGCCACCCTCCTGCCCCGCCTGCCTTCTTTGTGTACTGGTTCCTGCAGTATTTCGCCCACGACTTCTACTCGCACGAGATGTGAGGCCACGGCCTCCTGCGCCATGCCCTAAAGAGCACGGGCACACCAGTGTGCCCGACTCCGGCGGTTTCGCCTTCGCCTTCGCCTTCGCCTTCGCCTCCTGCCCCGCCCGCCGCCCAAGGTCGCGAAGTCCGGCGTGGTCCCGGTGGATGACGATTTGGCTGCGGTGGCCATCTTTGCCCGCCGTTCCCTGAGCCTCAGGGCGACGCGAGCCCGTGATCGCGCGCGTTTCGTCGGGTGTTGCTACAGCCCTTGTGAGGCGAGGCGGATTCAATATTACATTTCAGCAGGGGCAGAAGCTGGTGGGTGGTGCGGGAAAAACAAAACATTTGCCCGCCGCTCCCCGCCCAGCGCTGCCGCCAGACGGAGCCTGGCTTGGTACGTGGTGGGCCTGGATGGGTGGGGCATGCGAGTTCCCGATCGGGCCCGCTGCTCGCGCGCGCGCGTGGTGGGGCCTGCGGCTGCAGGAGGGCCCCGGAGCGCCTCGGGCAGACCAGCGGCCCTTTCGACGGCCTGCAGACTGCCCGCCGCGCCGAGGTCACAGCGGCGCTCACGGCCGCTGGCATCGCGGGCTGGCCCGTGGAGTTCATCACGGATTCGCGCTTCGTCTGCGACGGCATGGCGGCGTCCAACCTTCTAGTGCATCCCCGCAGGGTTGGTCTCGCGCCGACCTGTTTGAGTTGTTCTCGCCTTACTCGCTGGTTTCGCGGTGGTCCGATGGGCTGAGGCTCACCCCGACGAGGGCGCCGGCGCGACGTGCGGGGTCTCGGAGGAGGACCCGCCGTGCAACGCCGGCTCGCAGCGGCTGCCGCAGCTGCGCGCCTGCTGCTTGCCAGCGTCCGTCCTGCTGGGGCGCGCGGCCCAGCTTCGCGCGCACAAGGTATTCCAGCGACTGTTCGCCACGATCGAGCGCCGAAGGCGAACCGCGAGGGATCGGGCCCAGCGTGCCCGCGTGCGGCGCCGTTGGACAGTGCATCCAAGGCGGCGCGTGCCCCTGGAGGCGGACGACGCCCGCCGCGGCGCCTGAGCAGCAGGGGGCCGCGCGGTCGCTTGTCTGCGTTGTCGGGCCGGGCCATGCGTGGAGGATGCGCGTGGCCGCACAGCGGCCCAGCTGGGTCGCTTAGAGCTTATTTCTTTTTTATAGATAGAGGAAAGTTCACTTGCATGGCGCTCGCCCCCCCCCCCCCCCTCCGCCCCTCTTCAGTCGAAGACGAGCGTGCAAGTGCCTTTCCACTTGCGTGACTTCCGTCTGTCAAGTTGTTTTCGGCTTGTTTCAGGCTCAGGCCCCCCCCGTCCGTGCAAGTAAAAGTGCCCGAATCCAAAAAAAACATGTTCTTGTCTGCGCTGCCGGTGCTGGGCCCCGACCTGGGAGCGCCTCGCCGGCCGGTCGGTGCAGCAGGCGTGCGCCGGCGTTGACGCTGAGGGCGGCCAGCTTGCTGTCGGGTGGCACCGCAGCGGGGTGAGGGCGCCGTGGCTAAGCGGCAGGTCGCCCTGCGGAGCCGCCGAGGGCGTGCGCCTGGGCGCGCCTGGCTAGTTGATGCGCGGGTGCCCGGTTGCGCGCCGTAGCCCGCTTTGGCGCTTCCTGCTTGTCGCTCGCCCCCCCGCTTCGTCCTTTCCCCTTCCTCCGTCGTCGTCGCGTTCGTCGACGTGGTCGTCGTCGTCGTCGTCGTCGTCGTCGTCGTCGTCGTCGTCGTCGTCGTCGTCGTCGTCGTCGTCGTCGTCGTCGTCGTGGTGGTGGTGGTCGTCGTCGTCGTCGTCGTCGTGGTGGTGGTCGTCGTCGTCGTCGTCGTTTCGGTCGTCGTCGTCGTCGCCCTCGTGTGGTTCTCTCCGCCGCTGGGCACCGCATCGCTGGTGAACTTTGTGGCAAAGTTGGCCCCCTGCCTGGAAAGAGTCGTAACGTGCGACGCGCTCATCTCGGGCCGGGCGAACGGGGGGGATTGGGAAAGGGGGGGTTGCGAAATCTGCTGCATGCAGCTGGTTTCGGCCTCGCCGAGGGGCCCATTCCTCGATGCATGGGCGCCTCCGGCGCCAGGAGGCGCCGGGAAAATCATCTACGTGAGCTGATTCTCAAACCCCCCCTTTGCTATCCCCCCCTTTCGCCCGACCCGATCATCCACATCGTGTCGGGGTGTCTCTGCTCGTCTTCTCGTCGTCGTCTATTTCTCTTCTTCCGCGAGGGTCCCCCTGGGGGATTTCCTGGGAACCTCTTGGGGGATTGTTGGGGTGATTTAGGGTATGGCCGTTCTAGAGGGCGCTCCTGGGCCGTCTGGCGATGCCGGGGCCCATTTCAGAGGCCTCCATGAGCCGCGTCTGGGCGCCCTTCTGGGCCAGTCTAGAGGATCTCTTTGGCTGTGTTGCGGCTGGTTGGGCCGCGCTGGCGGCATCCTGTGTCATCTGAGCGTTTTTTTTTACTTGTGAGCCTGCCTGGGCCATATACCAAGTGACCGCAACCATGGGAAACCGCAGATTCCCGCCGCCGAACGGGGCGGCACCGCCCGCATTTTGGGGAGGGCACCTCCCCCGATCCATGGATCCATGGATCGCCAATCCATGTTTGCGCGCCCCCGAGTATTGGAGACCATCCTGGGCATCCTGGGCGCCTCGGGGAGCCCCACCGGAGCCACAGGGCAGCCCAGAGGGGCGCCTTGGCAGTGGGCGGGGGCGGCGCACGCAGCCCATGCGTGGTGAGCGGAGGGGGGCCTTTGGAGGACGTGCGGAGATTCTGCCAGACAGCATCTGGTTTTCTACTATGCTCAAACTCGAAGAAGCACAATTGCCATGAACGTTACACTTTCGGCGCTCCGCGCGGAGCGACAAAAGTTTATGTTTATGTGGCTTTGTCTTCTTCTATAAACGTGCCAGGGGGAGCGGTGGCGGATGTCAGCACGATGCATCCAGTCGCCCCCCTCCCCATGGCTCCTATCTGGTCCCGCTTGGGCTATGTCTTCTCGTTTTCGCCCGCCCCGATCAGTGATTCTCTCCCTCGTCATATTCTGGACCCCGTGTTTCCTCATGTTCGGCTGTTCGGAAGCGTTGCCACTTGTCATGTTTTGTTGCTCGTTTCCGTTCGTTTCCCGTTGTGTTTGTTCCTGTCCTTGTATTTCCGCTCGTATCTGGCATGCCTGCTTGGCATTGTCGTCGTCCTTGGCCCTACCTCTGCCTCTGTATGCTTGCACTTGCCCTTCTCCTTGCATTGGGCGTGGCGAGGATAATCAATATAGATCCCAGAGCGTTCCAGACCGCTCATCAGAGCGCTCCAGAGTGCTCTGAAAATGCCACGGCGCCCGAACTGGTCCCCCTCCTTGCTTGGTTTTGTTGTCCTTTCTCTTCCTCAGTTCGGCTCCGTGTCCTTGGATGCGAGTGCGGTGGAAGAGGAAGAGGAGGAGGAGGAGGAGGAGGAGGAGGAGGACGGGCAGGAGGAGCAGGAGAAGCAGGAGGGGCAGGAAGAGGAGGAGGAGGAGGAGGAGGAGGAGGAGGAGGAGGAGGAGGAGGTAGGAGGAGGAGGAGGAGAAGGAGGAGGAGGCGGAGGAGGAGGAGAAGGAGAAGGAGGAGGAGGAGGACGACGAGGAGGAGGACGAGGAGGAGGCGCTGGTGAGCGTGCGCGGTGGCCGCCGCGAACAAAAACGCGCTGCTCCCGCGCGCGCGCCCGTGCAGGAGCGAGCCTGTTCGCCGCGGCCGGGGGCGGCGCGGCGGCGGCGAGCCTGTTCGGAGGGAGGGGTGGCCTCCTCTCCCTCCTGCTGCTCCTCCTCCTCCTCCCCTCCTCCACCTCCTCCTCCTCCTCCTCCTCCTCCTCCTCCTCCTCCTCCTCCTCCTCCTCCTCCTCCTCCTCCTCCTCCTCCTCCTCCCCCTCCCCCCCACCCCTCCCCCTCCTCCTCCACCTCCTCCACCTCTCCTCCTCCTCCTCCTCCTCCTCCGCTCCTCCTCCCCTTTCCCCTCGATGCCTCATCCAGCAAGCCGGGCGGCAGGCTAGGCAGGCCAGGCCTGCGCCACGCCACCTTCGATTCCGAGGGCCCCCCTGCGAGGATAATGGGGGGCTTGTTTTCCACCACCACCATAAGTTGGAGGGGGGAAGGATGTTGAGGAGGATGAGGAGGAGGACGACGACGAATAGGAGGAGGAGGAGGAGGAGGAGGAGGAGGGGAGGAGGAGGAGGAGGAGGAGGAGGAGGAGGAGGAGGAGGAGGAGGAGGAGGAGGAGGAGGAGGGAGGAGGAGGAGGAGGAGAATAATAAGAAGACGAATAATAATAATAACAAGAAACAAATAATAATAAGAAGAAGAAGAGAAATACTAAGAATAATAATAAGAAGACGAAGACGAAGAATAAGAAGAAGAAACATAATACTAATAATAATAATAATAAGAAGAAGAATAATAATAAGAACAATAATAAGAATAATAAGAACAATAATAATAATAGTAAGAATAATAATACTAAGATTAATAATAAGAATAATAATAAGAAGAAGAATAATAATACTAATAAGAAGAAGAAGAAGAAGAAGAATAATAATAATAAGAAGAAGAAGAAGAGGAGGAGGAGGAGGAGGAGGACCTCCTCCCCCTCCTACTCATGGTGGTGGCGGTGGAAAACAAGTCCGCCAATGATGGGGGGCCCGAGCCCAGCGCTCCACCGGTGCCGCGCCGGCTGCCGGCAGGACGGCCGGTGGAGGTACAGCTCCTCGTGGCAGGCGAGGTCGAGGCGCTCCAGCTGAGGGCGAGGGCGCGCCGGGCCCGCGAGCTGCCCGCCTGCCGCCAGCTTCGCCCGCCGGCCCCTGGGCGCGCCACCGCGGCCACCTTCCAGCCTCTGTGCAGGTACAGTCAACCCGCATAGTAAGGATGGGCAGCCTTACCCTTGCATCCTTGCCCCTTCGGCCCGTCTTTGGCCGCTTTCGCAGGCCGCGCCCCGCTCGCAGAGTGTCGATATGGCCCTCCAAGGCCCTTGCATCCTTACCGCGCATCCTTACCATACGGGTTGACTGTAAGACTTGTGTCCACATCTACTGCAGCTTGGAGTTTCGGGCCCCCTTCCCCAGAAACCCGAGGCGGACTGGATATGGACAATAATGTGGCCCCCAGAGGCTCGATTTTGATCCACATCCAATGATCCTCGGCCTTGTGGCGCCCCTTCCAAGAAAATCCAAGACGCACTGGATATGAATATGAACATTGCCCGAACTCTGGGCGACGAGACGAGGTGGGTCGCGTCACCGTCGGGGTCGCGCGCCCCCGGCTGCAGATAGGATGCTGCCGGCCAGGGTTTCAATCGGGCATGTTCCTCCACAGGAGGAGTTTTCAAACATAGTTGTTTTAGAAAAGTCGAGGAACAATCTTTTGATTATTCTTGTGCATTCATTTGTAAAGTTCACGAGCTATGAAAAAACAAAATGAGGAGTGCCGTGCCACAGTGTTACGGCTCAAGTCTCTCCCATGGTCGCTTGGGCCTATCAGCTTGCCGCTTCCAAGGCGGCAGATTTCGGCCTCGTGTGGGCCCTAGGCTCCCATCAGTGCCCGCCGTGCCCCGACTGTCTCGTCACCTGCCCGACGGTCATGTGTGCTACGCCGTCTATCAATATCACCTGTCCTACATTCGCGTGCCCGACAGTTTCGACGGGCGGTGTGGAGCCTTCAGGCTGGACAGGCGTCCTCGGCTTTCTCGCTGGCCTCTTGCTAGGCTTCGGAGTGCTGGTCTGCCTCGGACTCGTCAACAGCTGCGGCGCGTTCATTTTCCGCAAGTCTGTGCAGGGAGCTGAGCAGAACGTCGAGGAGATTCGTGATTTGGCATTGAAGCACACGTCAGCGCAATGGCGTCGCCAGGTGACGTTGTGCTCGTCAAGTATGACCTGCCAGGCCCCGCGCTCTGGCACGAGCGCCTCATCCTCGCGGCAGCTCCAACGCCGGGTTGCTTCGCGGTTTTCACGCCTGTCGGAGACATTTTTGTGGAGCACCTTCGAGCTGACAGTGATGGTATTGCGGAATTCGCATCATCTCCCGGGTTGGGTTCAGCTCCGCCAGGGATTCTTCTGGCCAGCACATACCGTTTCGAGGCTGTCCCGACGGAGGCATGTTCGTGACGGAGCGCTGCAAGCTGGAGCCGGAGTTCCTGCAGCCCCCGTGGTGCCAGCGGCGGCCGCGCCCGCGGCGGCGGCTGCGGCTGGGCTGCCGGCCCTGGGGGCCGCAGCCCCGCCCCCGGGGGCGCTGGTGGCGGTGGCCCCTCCGCTTGGGGCCCACCTCGCCCCCGCTGCCCCGCCGCCTGCGGCGGCCGTGTCGGCAGGCGTCCCTGGTGCCGCCGCTGCAGCAGCCGCCGCGCCTGGCCCCGTGCTGCCTGGCGTAGCGCCTGGGGCTGCCCAGCATGTATGGGTGGCTGCAGATGGCACCGCCGACGTGGCCAAGGGGACTCAGATCGCGGCGCTGCTAGCGGCGGCGGTGACCTGTGGTGATCGTGGCATCATCCCATGGGGCAGCAGCTTCCTGCTCGTGAGGCGCATGGCCGAGGCCGACGTCTACCGTTTCGTGCATGACGATTTGAGGTTGTTGCCTGTTGTCACGGACGCGGCAGGCGAGCGCAAGGTCAGCTTCGCCGATTCGCGGATGCAGTGACGGCCATGGATCCCACGTCTCCACGTGGAGGGCTCGGCCTGGATGGGCCGTCGACGACCTTCTGGCTGCTGAAGCAGATTCGAGACAACGATTCGAACCCGAACAACCATCATGAGAGGTGGGTGCGGGCTGGTCGTATCCCTGACGGCGACAGGTCAGTGTATGAGCATCAGGCGCTGTGCAGGCTTCTAGATGCAGCTGCCACCTATGATCAACTGAATCTCCCCGCCATGAAGTGGGCTGAGCTGGTGTGCCGCCGAATGGCCCTCATCGAGGAGGCTCACAGGGCGGCACCCTCGAATGCAGACTACTCGGCGGGTAACCTGTTCATGGGATGGGGCTCGCAGACTGCTGGCGGTGGGACCAACCCCGCGCTGGCGCAGTACGTGTCGAATCAGCTGAAGGATCAGGCTGCCCTAGCCACGGAGAGCAGGAAGGCCCGCGAGGAGCAGCAAGCCCGGGCCTGCGGACGTGGACGAGGTCGCGGCCGTGGGCGGGGCGGGCTGGATCCCGCGGGCGAGGAGGGATGAACCCCTCCCCTCCTGGGCAGCAAGGCCAGCTCCCAGGAGGTCTCTCAGGCCAGCGGGCTGGTGTGGTCATACAGTCTCGATTACATCGAGCTCGCGCGCCAGAGGTTCCTGGGCCATCGCGCGCTCATCGTCGCGGCCAGGCTGTAGCTGGAGATAGACCTCATGATGTGTTTCCTCTGCCTCCCGTCGATGCGGCTCACGACTTCCTTCAGGTCAGGCTCTCCGACGGCGGGGGCGGCGTGCACGCGAAGCGACGAATGCGTGCTTGCACGGGGTCGGCTCCACGGACCTAGCCCCCAACCTCGCCCAGGAGGAGACTCATCATCAGGTGCTGGGCAAGCTGGCTTCTGTACCTGGCGACGGGGAAAAATGCCTCTGCCGCATGATGCCCTCCGTGAGGTCATGCGCACAGACCTCTCCTGCGCTTCGGAGGAGGATGCAAGCCGCGTCCGCCCCTTTCGCCCCCCCCCCCCCCCCCTGTGTCTCTTCCTCGGCCGGGTGCGAGGGCGCCCAGACTCGGGGGCGCTCTCGGCCCAGCGGGGCGCCAGATTGAAATTGACGGGGCCGACCGCATGCTTAAGTCCCCACAGGAGTGGGGGGAAATGATCGAGACCTCGCCTCACCCCCCCCCCCCCCCCCCCCCCCAACTTTGACGAGGTCTTACGGAAAGATCAGATTGCGGACGAAGGTTGCGTGAAAGACTTCCACGCGGGTATCGTTGAGTTTTCGTTTGAGGTCGAGGATCACATCACCCCGCCCCGTTCTCTGTCGACAAGAAGGGCGTTGCCCTTCGCGTGGTCATGGATTGCAGAGGTCCTGGCCGACGTGTCAGGGCTCCGCCTCGGATGAGGATTGCTGCGGGAGCTGTCCTCTCTCGTCTGCACGGTGCGCTGTCGGACGTCAGCATTTGTCCATTGGCTCGTGCTGCCGCCCTGGCTCCGCAAGTATTCCGGCCTGCCACCGATCAACGCCGCCAGCGTCGTTTCGTGGGGAGCTCTACCTGGTCTCGGGTCGTCTCGGGGTGAACTTCCGGGTCGAGTTTGCCCTGTCATGCGTGTCTGTCCACAGGGCTGTTCTTGGGCATTCTGGCTAGCCCAAAGTGCTCGCTCGCATCAGGTTCTCCAGGGTGCTCGTCTGGGTCCAGATCGGCTCCTTGAAGAAGATGCTCCTGTCCCCGATTTGTCTAACAAGGTTCCCGTGGTGCCCCCGTGCTGCGACGACCTAATAGTCATGGGCATAGATAAGGACTCCGTGAGTAACACTAAGACGCTGGTGGTCGACCAGCATATGCGCGTGAGCTTCCAGGTTCAAGAGGAGGTTGAGGCCAACACCTTTTTCGAGTCCCTGGGCTACCTGGTTGATGGAGGACGCGCGGGAGTTCTTGACATTCCCCAGCGGCTCGAGAAAGCCGTCGCAGCGTTCACCCATCTCAGGAGAAGGCCACGCGTCACCGGTTGGCAGATCAGCTAGGCTCTCGGCAACGTCACGCCGATCTTACTCCTCACTCGCTCCATGATCTCGCTGCCCAATGCCCTGTATCAGCTCATGCGCGAGAGCTGGAGCCGCAAGAGGCGTCTCTG